AAAAATGTCCCAAGTCAACCTATTCGAAATTTAAATTGTATTGTCATCGCAGTATTGCGCTGTCAGTAGAACAAATGAAGACTAAAGCGGAGTGTCGCGCTCTGTATACGATTTTAGCGCCTTACAAGTGCGGACACTTTTTAGCGCGGACCCGACGTCCATATAATTGTAAGTCAATGCCGGCACCTCTATGTGTGGTATGCGTCTACGGCTGCATGTATCGCGTGAGCGGCTAGGGCATTCCTATATTTTAGGCCTTTAAAGTCATAAAAATGTATATAAAAGGTTTTTTATTTTTCTCATAATCTATTTCACCAACTAACTCCGTAAACGCTGTGTAATAACTATATTATCGTTATATAATGTTCTGTATAGCTCGGAACGATATCCAATCGACCGATTCGGTTAAAATATCGAAGAGTTCTGAATCGGGGTCCAGATGTTTATGGTACAGTGGTTGTTTCCAATTTCCATATCACAAGTGCTTTAGTTCTTTAGTACTTTGGGATCTGAGCAACGTATGTAATGTTATCTCATATTTATTTAATACAAATAATTTTAATTCTGAACAATTGAAATTGGTGAATGAACCAAAAAATCTTTTCAATTTAGCCACGGTATATACCGTGCACTTATGTACCTTTATGGTATTTATAATACACATTAACAAAGAAGCTTTAAAAATACAATTATAAACTTGAATACTGGATACTGAAACTAGAATTAGGTTACATGAATAAAATTTATTCCCCGCGACAAAGTGTCCAAGACGCTATAGAGATATAGACCTATGATAATACGTTGGGCAAGGTAGCTGCCGAGCCTTGAATTACCCAAGCAGTGTAGACATTTTAAAAACGATAAATGAAAAACAAAATCGACTATTTTTGATCTGGTTTTAATAAACAAAATCAAATAGTCCACTGCATTTTGCGACCGCGACACGACTTTATCGCGAGTCATGGCGTTGATTGAGCTGCAAGTTTGCTCACGCTCCTAAGTAAAAGTTTAAACAAAAAAAAAACGCAATAGCCTTGGGGTATATGTTAAAAGTACCACCTAATTTTGCTGCAGCTTATACCACTTATTATTTCCATGCTAGCGTGCTGGAATATAATTTAACGGGAAACTGATAAATCACGACAGACAAACATAGACAATACAATAGAATACATTTATTACAACGCCTTACAAAAATACATGAAAAGAGAAGGAATAAATCAAAACAAATGTAAAAAAAAACAAAACAATGTAGCAAAAATATTAATAAGGTACAATTTCGGTTAACAGAAATTTTTTCTATGTCTTCGATCTTTGTATTCATAATCTTGAAAATTTTTATTTTTATATAATATCAAGTGACGGGGTGAATAAGTCGTATGCCTGATGGTAAGCTACACGCCTGTCCATAACAGTTGCAGTGCCACTCAGAGGTTTAAATTGCAAAGATCTGTGGGGCACTGCCACTGCGCCCGTCACTTTGAGACACAAGTTAACAAGTCCTACGTGCCTGTAATTTCACCAGCACCCTTAACTTTCAAAACCGGACGGTAATATTGCTTACATTACCGCTTGGCGTCGGAAATAGCTAAGGTGGCAAAATTATCAGGTTAACGTCAAGGCTGACATACAAGTGGTTTGATTAAAATTTTATTAGAACAACGTTTATAAACATAGTTCGTGAATAATTGATAAATACATGTTTGGGATTTGTGGTATGGGCAGTGATAACCTGTTAGAAATAACGCTAGCTACGTATGTTAAAGTAACTGTGTTCGATTACACGCGACACGCACCATTTTAGTATGCTCACAATCAAATGTTTTATTTATTGAATATTGTAGGGGCCGATACTACGCTATAGTACTGACGCCTAATTATTTAAATAGATAGATAAGTATGTAAGAGGTTGTTGATAAAGATAGAAGCCAGACGAGTCTGTATACGAGTATCTCTTGCTTTATTTTAACTCATCAATGGCTATCTTACAGAGTAATAATCTCAGTACAGAGTACTAAAAAAACCGACCTCAAAAGTACGTGCAATTACATCTATTTGCTAAGTTTTATTGAAATATCCTTAAATTCGCCACTATACAGGACTTGACACTGGAGATAATAAAAATCGGTTCTCACTACTCAAAGAATATTAAGAGAAAAACGCCTTGAATAGGAGAAATAGCAAAGTCAACCATTAAAATAATTGCTCCTTAAGAAAATTTAGGCGCTATTTATAAAAATGAATCTTCTTGCGTGAACAGCCACCCTTAGAGGCGGATGATTTCCTTCAAAATGAAATGGGACAACTATGGAAGTACCCCCTTTCCAAAAAAAAAGGAACCATGAAAATCGGTTCACAAATACCGGAGTTATCGCGTAACATACATACAAAAAAAAAGAATTGAGAACCTCCTCCTTTTTTGCAGTCAGTTATAAACTGAAATAATAATGGACACCCAAATATGGGTCCTTCTCGATAGACACACATTAAGTTGATTAATGAGCGTTAAATTATAACCATATAACATTGACTTACAATTGACTATATAAGTACTAACTATACTACGAGTATATACATTTTTGCAACACTTAGTAATCACCTACTCGCCAAAAAACAAACTACTTCTATGACGCTTCACCGATACAACACTAGTATTAAAAATATCAACCTGTTTGGACAATACATTGAAGCTATTACTCGCGTTGATACGCATTCGAAGAGGCCAGAGTTACGCACAGTAGTGAATTTAACCCAAGAGTCTTTGTAAGGACTCTAAGAGAAATCTTGGACACAAGTTCCGGGGAGTCCACGGCACCAGAAGCAATTTTTCGCAAAAATACTAGGTCTGCTATTTGACGTCGCACCTCTAATGGCAAACGATGATGTTTCTTAAGTATGTACCTACGTCAAGATTGGAAATGAAACTATTTTTCCGGATTTAAATCGCGTATATTTGTTTTTTCAAACAAACCGACGTTTCAACCGTGACAATGGGACCTGTAAAGGGCCCGAAACGTCGGTTTGTTTGAAAAACAAATATACGCGATTTAAATCCGGAAAAATAGTTTCATTTCCTATGTGTAACAATCGCGAAAACCTAAGAACTCGATATGTCAAGATTGTTTGACTCGTACCGCTCCCTAGTTCGAAAACATAAAAACTTAATAAATCTTCTTTGCATGTTTTCAATTCGCGATATGTAGGTAAGTTATTGGGTGCTCCAGACCTGCGATGCATATTCCAGGTGGCTACGGACAAATGAGCAATATAAAATTTTTAGCGGACGACCGCATCATTGTAGTTCATCTGGCATGTTCGCAGACGCGCGGACTGATGACTCTCATGCCATGATGAGAAAGAAGTCAGCATCCGTACTGCATGGAACACGCAGCAGTTCCAACACCATTCTGAAAATGTTTGCTTGTAAAATAGCAGAGCCCATGCTTTTTTTGTTTTTGATGCTAAATTTTTAAAATTTTTCCATTTTATATTGTTTCAATTTTAAATTTAAATTTTAGTTGTATTTTCGATTATATTTTATTACATTTATAAATACGGAACTGTAAACTAACATAGTACATACGGTTTCTGTAAAACTAACAAGTGGACCTACTTTGTCTTAAATAAAAAACTATTTTTATTTTTGCATAATCAAGGTATCAAGACGCGGAACTATCGGAGGTATGTCCTGAAGGACGGTACCGCAGTCTTTTTTTTTTATATAACATCAAGTGACGGGGCGAACAAGTCGTGCTACACGCCTGTCCATGACAATTACAGTGCCACTCAGAGCTTTAAATTGCAAAGATCTGAGGGGCACTGCCCCTGTGCCCGTCACCCTGAGACGTAAGTTGACAAGTCTCATGTGCTTGTAATTTCACAACACAGTAATGATCATATTACTGCTTGGCGGTAGAAACAGGTAAGGTGACAATACTTCCCTGGACAAACTCTTTCACAAGAAGCTCTACTGCTACTGGAAGGTGTAACCCTTTCGCACCTGGTTGATACGATCGTGAGTTCCCACTTTGAAAATTCGTATAATGGCGCGAAATCTGTTTATCCGGCCCAAACCGAGCTCGCTCGATCGTGCGTTCATCGAACAACCAATAGAAACGCGCTGTGGTTCAAATAGGAATCAGTTGCGTCGTGGCAAACGTCAACATGGCCGCGTACCATGACCCCGCGACCGGACGGCGTAAGTAATATTACAATTTTGATGTTTTTTTTTTGTTTTTACACTGTTTTTTTGCAAAATTAGTTAGCTAGGTTTATAAACTAACTTTAGAAAACAAAAGTTCTACACTAGTTGTCGCATTTGCTTCTAAATGTTGACCTAAAGTTTTGAACGCACGCCCGTGAGGTCCAGGTTGCAATTGTACCAACTCACGATCATGATTTGTTTTATTTCTCATAAAATTAATGATATTTCAGGAACGCAATTAACAGAACATCAGATTAACAGAATCATCCTCGAACTGCTTCAAAATGGAAATTGTTCTGACCTGGACTTTGACGAAAATGACGAAGATTTTTTACCGGTAAATGATGATCAGTCCTCGGAGACGCCGCCGCCACTGACACTACAATCAAATGATCAACAAAGTGAGTTGCCGTTAGATGTTGCTGACGAGGAACCAGGGCCGTCAAGGAAAAGGAAACTCCAGGACTCTGGTAAGCGGCCAAAAATTAAAGTCAAAATGCCACAAAGGGCCAGAATTTGGAAAAAAGCTCCCTATATTGACAAACCACATGATTACGATCATTCGACGCCAGCCCCAGAACTTCGATCTCCTACTGAATACTTTTCAGATTATTTTGATGATGATTTCTATGAAAACATGGCCTTGTGTACTAACTTATACTATCTAAGAAAAACAGGGAAAGTATTAAATACAACTAAGCAAGAAATCAAAAAATTTGTCGGTATTCATCTTATAATGGGGATATTGTCTTATCCTAGACTTGCCATGTATTGGCGACATAATATAAAAATAGAAATGATTGTATCAGCTATGACAAGAGATAGATGTATGATGCTGCGTAATAATCTACACGTCGTTGATTCGGATTACCCAAAAGTCTCTGACGTAGGAAATCCACTCTGGAAGGTGCAACCCGTAATCAATGCTGTTCGAAACGGTTGCCACAAATTAGAAAGGACTCCGAGAAGGTATTCAGTGGATGAACAGATGATTCCATTTACTGGCAAATGCCACATGAGGCAACTAGTTAAAAACAAGCCTCGACCAGTTGGCTTGAAAAATTTTGTTGTAACAACCAGCGAGGGATTGATGCTAGACTTTGAAATATACTTTGGTAATAATCCAGCTCTATTGCATCCTCTCGGTCTTGGTCCTGGTGTAGTTCTCCGCCTGAGTCAAAGTATTCCTCCTGGAAGCTGTATCTTCTTTGATCGGTTTTTTACAACTATCCCTTTGTTGGAAGAATTAAAAAACCGTGGTTATCATGGCACAGGGACGATAATGGCTAACCGGATTCCTAATCGTAAACAGCTCAGCTTCAAAGAAGACAAAAAGATGTCTCGGGGCGAGGTTGACCAAAGAATCTCGGATGATATAGTTTTGGTCAAGTGGAAAGACAGTAAGGCTGTTTTGGTGGCATCAAACTGTACTGGCGGCACGGGAATTGACATAGTACAGCGCTACGAAAAAAAGGAAAAGCACTACGTAGATGTTGATGCTCCGAAGATTGTGACATCTTACAATGCATTTATGGGCGGAGTGGATGTTTTAGACCAATCCCTAGAATATTATAGAACATTTATGAAGACCCGCAAGTGGACATTAAAAGTCATACTTCACTTCATCGATTTGGCCGTTGTGAACTCTTGGCGACTGTACAGAAATGAAATGCTGGCAAATAATACTCCAAAATCAAAGATACAGGATCTACTGTCATTCAGATTCGAAATGGGAGAAACTCTACTTAACACTCCCAGCAGAGAACGCCACGAATCGTCTCCCGAAGTAGAACCACAAGAACAGCCTTTAGTCAGATACAGGCCAGCTAATGATCCGTCGGTAGGGAAGAGATATGATGGGTTTGACCATTTTCCTATATTTGATGATATAAAAGCTCCACGAACCTGTCGTTTAGAGAAATGTAAATCTCGTTCAAAACTTCGATGTAGGAAATGCGATGTCTATTTGTGCCTGAATCGAGACAAAGACTGCTTTTATATTTATCACAACAAGTAATGATTAATTGTATGTTACAGCTTGTTGAATTAATGTTCCTTAACTTTGAAACAGACTTGTTAAGTTTTTATGAGAGACTGATTTACGTTAACTAAGTTATTTATGTTTAATTTTCTTTTATAAAACTATGAACAGAAGAGTTCTTCGTTATTTTATGTTTTGTTTTGGTTAAAAAGACTTATTAGTTAATTAATAATATTAATTGGTTCACAGAACTGTGATATAATGTGCCTTGTTAATTGTTAAGTACAATAAATAGTTGATTTTGATATAAAATGTGTTGCTTTTACTTCTATTTAAAAATAATACTAATTGAGAAGTAGTTTAAAGTCCATTACCATTATAATTTTACCCATAAAAGACAAACGCACGTTCGTGATTTGGTAGAATTGAGACCTAGAACTCACGAACGTGATACCCGTTTTTCTAAATGATGATTGCACTTAGATTTTTTTCACTATTTTTATATTTATCTATGCGTTAGATTTAATGAATTTTTGCCATTATTTTTTTTTAAACTGAACAAAAAAAATCTCAGGTGCGAAAGGGATAAACCATACGGCAATTAAAGTTTACAATGAAATAACTCTTGCAATACGAAATATAGAAGAGGAACATTATGTTTACAAATAAATTGAAAAGATTCTTACTATCGAACTGTTTTTGTAATTTACAGGGTTTTTATTATGAACATAGATAATGTAGGTACTTGAAGAAGTTAAGTTGTAGTCTTAGAATAATAACGCATAGAAACCTAGTCCGCACACGCTAAGTGAGGCAAATTAAAGCGCGCCCAATGGGCCTACACGAGCGGGCGGGCCTTCAGTGCTCAAGGTCAACTTGCACCGCGAACAGCTCAAGAATTTTAGCTAAAAATGACGAAATGTGCGGTAAATGAGTGTAAAAATACGTCAGACAAACATAAAATAGATACTAACATCACATTCCATAAGGAAGTAACGCGTTTCAACTTGTATTTTTATATAAATATTCACTAAAACCGAAAATTAACCTACTACTAAAACTAGCCTACATAAATTTGATTTTGCCTCACTTGTGACAGTTCGTTTGATATGAAACTATCATTCTATGCGTTATTATTCTAAGGTTGTAGTGCCCTTACGGGGCTTATATCGGGTCATGTAATAACTGGGGGCATTCCTATTATGTCGTGAAGATAGATAGTCGTGCAGTTTAAATGTCGTAGCTTGTATATTTAAATAATCTTGTTTACACATAGAACAACACGATTAACTGTCGTTTACGACTTTTTTGACATTACGACGACATACTGTCAAGACAATGGGAAAAGCTAGAACGACAATCGTCAGACTACACTATTATTGTCACGTTTTATTTACCATTGTCTCATATACTGCAGACGACAAGGCGATAAATTGTAATCACGATCCAATAGGTATAGCTAGGCATAACTGTCTTTCTAATACCATATCGTTATCCAACAGCGTTTACGGAGTTATCGGTGAAATGGGTTATAAAAAAAAATAAAGTCACATACATACATTTTTAAGATTTTAAAGACCTAAAATATAGGATTGCATTAGTCTTGCATTAAAATAAATGAACAAAATTGAATAAAATCCAGACTTTATTTAAAATAATAAGTTATTTCCATATTACGTTCTTGCTTGGTAAACAACTTTCATTCGATAATTGTGTTTTGAATAACGTTTGTAGTCTTTGCCAGTCGAAAAGTTCGAGTAATCGTACAGGTGTTACGTCCTTTCGATTCGGTTTCGAATACGACAGTTTGATTTCGAAGTTCGATTCGGGTGTTGTGAATAAAAATTAAAAGAAATCGGTCGACAACTGAGTCATCGTGAGGTTAGAACCCCGGTCGACCCCCTGGGTGTTTGTGGTACCGTCGTTGTTTCCGATCTCCATAACACAAGTGCTTTAGTTACTTTACTTTGGAATCAGAGCAACGTATGTAATAATCATTAATACAAAGATCGAACACTCAGAAAAAATTCCTTCGATCCGGTCGGATTCGAACCGACGTGTTCTTGCATACCGTGCCAGACGCTATACCAACTAAGCCACGGAACGAACCAACGGACCCAACGAATTTTTCTATGTGCTTGCGTCGTGTCTTTGTATTTGGTTTTTCAGCGACTTTTTAGTCGTAGCGCCATCTATGTGAAATCTATGAAAGATTTATCACCCAGTTAGTGCCTTTACAGCTACTAGTCCTGGCGGGAGATGTCGCTATTCACTGTATTACTTAAATTTTTATTGAATTGATATTCAATTATTTTTTGTGAAATTACTCCACTAGTTTGTTATAATTATTAATACAAAGATCGAACACTCAGAAAAAATTCCTTCGAAAATATAATTGAATATCAATTCAATAAAAATTTGAAACGTATGTAATGTTTTCTAGTATTTATTTATTTATTTCACAAAAAATATAATAAAGCATATCATAAAAAACTACACAATATAAACACCGTGATATTTAATCAAGATAAATATTTACCGTAACCATTCATTTCTGGTTTCATTCTTTCATGTTCATTCATTTCCCTTCTATTATAAATTTATCTATACTCCCCCATTTCCACGTTGGTGCATCACAAAGAAGTCTTCCGACGTCTTTTGTTACCCGAATTAGACTTTATCGCGCTCGGAATGCACCTGTGCTCTATTTATATCTAGATCGATAGAGATTTCAGTCTAATACACGCTACGTTTTCAACTTCTTGTTAGTAAAAAATTTTTTCGCCGAATTAAAGAAAAGGGAGTATGATACGTTTGTTTTTCTAAAAAACATTAATAAAGTAAACAAACCCTTTGATTTCAATTTTTATTGAATTGATATTCAATTTGTTTTTATGTGAAATTACTCCACTAGTTTGTTATAATTATGAATACAAAGATCGAACACTCAGAAAAAATTCCTTCGATCTGGTCGGATTCGAACCGACGTGTTCTAGCATATCGTGCCAGACGCTATACCAACTAAGCCACGGAACGAACCAGCAGACCTGATGAATTTTTCTATGTGCTTGCGTCGTATCTTCGTATTTGGTTTTTCAACGACTTTTTAGCCGTAGCGCCATTTATGAGAAATCTATGATATTTCGTCACCCAGTTAGATACCTTTACATTTACCAGCCCCGGTTTCGTTTTTCGTTGAAAAATAATAAAAATAAAAATAATTGAATATCAATTCAATAAAAATTTAAATACAATGAATTACGACATCTCTAGCCGAGACTGGTAGCTGTAAAGGTATATAATTGGGTGACGAAATGTCATAGATTTCTCATAGATTTCTCATCAAAGCCGTTGAAAAACCAAATACAAAGACGTAAGCACATACAAAAATTCGTGAGGTCCACTAGTTCGTTCCGTGGCAGACGTGTAAGACGGGCAACTCTCGGAAAACGTGTAAAGTCCCCAACCCGCATTGAGCCAGCGTGGCGAACTATGGCCTCACCTGAGAGGAGATCTGTGCTCAACTGTGGGATGTAAAAATGTTGATGATGAATAAAACCCTTTTATCGTTATTATTGATACAAAGAAAAGAACGAACGAACACAAAGAAAATATCTTTCGACCTTGAACATTTTAGCAGCAGTAGAACTCCTTGTGAAAGAGTTCGTCCAGGGAAGTACTGCCACCTTAGTCTCAGGGTGACAGGCGCAGTGGTAGTGCCATTCAGAACTGTTAGTGCTATGGACAGGCGTGACGCCTACCATTAGGAGCACGACTTGTTCGTCCCGTCGTCGCTTGATATCATTGTTTTAGAATTAAAACAATCTTCCTTTAAGCATGGTAATGACATTTCCCACCCTTAACCGTGCGTTTCATAATATAATCCAACTTTTTGCTAGTCATTATAACAAGGGATGTTTTAAAAGCCACAGTGCAAAGTTGAGCAAAGTGGTGAGCGCACTTATTACTTAACAAAACTCAAACAATAAATTCTACTCAATATCAAATTAGATGCAAGCAGCACCATCTCGGTAATTGAGGCTTTCTTTGAGGAAAGTTTATGTTCTGCAGTGGACGTCTTTGCTGAAATTATGTATACAAAGTTTTAAATAAAAGGTAGAAATTATTGCAGTAAATCAATGCCTGCTGCTGCCTGCCTCCGTGGCGGAACGGTCACCATGCTGGATTGCCACGAGGAGGTGCTGGGTTCTCTCGTGAGTTTGGGTGTATTTTGTGGTTGTCTATGTGTGTGTCCATGGCACCGATACAGGGGTTATTATTATTTAAAAAATACACAATGGGCAGTGGGTTAACCAGGTATTTACCCATTTCTGTCCAAAATCGTGAGCAAAAACGTTAAATATGGAATTTAGTATAATTCCATACTTGTTACAAATTTCGATGTAAAAAATCATTTTTCGACGAGAACTCCACACATACGTACATAACATCGATTTTTTGTATCCATTTATTTCAATGCGCTTTTTCAAATCAATTCCATAGAAATGCTAATCGAACTGTCAAGCTAAGAAAGCAATAAACATTTTGTAATAATATTATTAAATTTAAACAAACCTCGGTTTACAATATACATTTAGCTGTAAATAATCTTTGCCCTTGATTTCGGGCATTGATGGATTTTAAATCGATTTAAACCCATGAACAAAGCGCTGCCGGATTAAAATCCAGGCGCTTGCCCTTCTCTGTATTTAATCGATATTGTTAGGTATCGCTTTATAACTTTCAAATGCGTTGATGGTACTACTGTCATTACATATAACACAGGCCCTCTGGTGCTAACATCGAGTATATAACCATAAAATGTAGACGAAATGAAAGAAAGGCTATCCATCCCTGCAACTTATCAGACAAATGGGTC